TGGCATCCTCCAGACTGAGCATTCCTGTAGCGGAGTCTTGCCCGTCTGGCAGAGATCGAACGCCGCCGGTAGATACCTTTTAAGAGCTGATTATATTTCCCACGTAGCGACTCGGGCCCGCGTTTAATACCAGTCTCGCGAAGATACTCTTTTGATTTCTTCTTCCACGAGAGGTGCTAGTGTTGAGATAGCCAGTCTCGAAGATCTTGCTCTTCTGATGGTGACCACGGGATGTAATTGGCTTTAGACATCACAAGAATGAGAGGAGTAACAAGCAGTCTGGGGTGGGAAGATACTAGTAACCTGAGATTCACGGTGGAACAAACAAGACCATGATAGGGAAGGGCAGGAAAACAGGGAGATGCAGGGATTTATGTTGGTTTTGAACAGCTTGAACCCCTCGCGAGCAGATAGAGCCGTCAGGATAGTCAATATCGGCATAAAAGGGATGCTGTTTATCTTTGTCATAATTACACATGGTCAATTACGCGATTCCATTCTACTTGATTACTTCCATGGTGCCGATCATTTGACTGTTTAATTCGAAAGTTCCGGTCGACAAGCCACCAACACTCCTACAACGCTCAGGGGTATGTGTTCAAGAGTTCTTTCAAAGTACCAACCGAAAATTGTGTCTCGTCTCATGGAATGGGTCATTTTGAACGAACTTGAATGTCTATCTGATATAGGCAGAGCTACCATCACGAAGACAATCCTGTCTGACCGAGACCAGATGTCAAAGAATGATCCATATTCCTGCTCATCTTGAGGAGTATCATCGAGGTATAGTAGCCTGCTTCGTAATCTAAATGTGACCCCGAGTCATTCATCCACCCGGCGCCCTAGGGTCCCGGTCTGGACAGATTGGGATGATATCTCCTGGAGGGTTCGGACCTCTTGAGGTACAGGACATATCATTGCCACTATGCCTGGGTATATATTGGACATTTACCCTGCTGGGCGAGTATTCCAGAACGAACACCACTGTGTACTTTCACTTCCATGGCGCTACCGCCTGATTATGAGCCTAGCATAGCCCCAGCCGCCTTCACGGCTGCTTGGCGTAAGAAGTTCAGGCCACAACCGCGGCAGTCTTCTTCCATTTACAGTCTTCCCGATGATGATTGTCCGTTTGAAAACGATGACCAACCGCAGCACTATCAAGCCAATAATGAGACAAGGAACGAGGTTGATTGTCAGCGTAGTGAAAGCGAGGACCCGGCCACGGGGTCTCCAAGCTTGGCTTTGCCCGACTTAGACGACCTGGAGCAACAGTCCCCCAAAGTGTCCATGGCCCTGGCAGGTACATTCATGAGAGAGTAAGTAGTTTCGATCCAGGTCTCACTTTGACTTTCACTCACGGTCAAGTAGAATAGACAGCCAAGTGCAGTGGGTCATTTCCCTAAACTACTTTCGAGATAGATGACTTGCAGGTTGTTCTGACTACAGGTGTCCAGGGCGATGGACAAGCAGATCAAGCAGCAGGACGTCTAGAACGATGACATGCAACAGCGGATGGAGGCCATTTTGGAACACTACCAGAAAATAGATTCTCTGGAAGAACAGGTTGCGGCGCTCCAAGCAAAGCTAGATATTTTGTGTGGTAACAAGGAAGAGGCTAATGCAGGACGCGGAACGGGTGGCCGCAGGCGCCAGGCACCGTGAACGTCACTTGATTTTGTCTAGATAATCGAATGATTTCAGCCAAACGAAATGCATATTTAACCATCCCGGATATCTAAGACTCCGTAATACTAGAGAATGCTGGCTGTCCGTGGCGCCAGTAATGGTGTGACCTTTGCCCCCCCTCCCCCCGCGGCGAGAGGTTCAAGTAGTCGTAGCTTCGTGCCATCATCTAAAAGAAGTAATCGCCATGCCATTGGCTGAAAAAAACTTCAGACTTGGTCTCTATTGGTGTTATGGACTGGTGGTCTCCACCATGGCGTCGTACTAGAGGCTTTTCACACTGTGCCGGAATGGCAATTAGGTTCATCTCGCTTCTGAAAACCATGCTCTTTCAGGAGGCGGGATCATTTTGCCATCTAGCAGGTGACTGGGAACGTTGATCGGCTAAAAGCCACGACATGCTAGATTGATCCTGGCTTGGCGATCGTGTAGAATTGTGATCGATGCCAATGTGCCCTAACCGCAACGTGTGTGCTCATCTCTTACTGCAGGTAGATAATCACGTTTATGGGAATCAGCTTTTGTGATCGAAACGATATTCGACAATACGGCGCCAGCAAATCAAATAGGCTGTGACGCTCTTCTGACAAGCTAAGTACACTCGGTTAGGCCTAGCATGTTGGCCTGGTCTCATATGAAAGGAAGGGTAAGACACGTTTTGTCAGGGCGGATTGCCACCGTACTTTGGCGCTCTCTGGCCTAGTCGTTTCGAGCCACTGATCACATTGGCCGCATCAAGCGCAGATATGAATAGGTGGTTCACCCGATCATACATCTTTCCTGTGACCTACGTCTCGTACCTCCCCTTGGGTATTGATCTGCGGGCCTAGTTTGCTCCTAAGGGGCCACGCACAGGAAGCTAGGCAGGGATATGGCCCTCGGATAGTGCCATTTCATCCGCTGCGTCCCAATTTGTACATCCCGCTCGGCTTTACATGGCGACCCGATGGTGCTATTCCGATCACAGCAAATCTGAGAGCTTATGTCCTCGAGACCGGCTCCGTTACCCGTATCAGTCTCTCGCGAGGAGGCCAACCGGGTGGAGTGCGCATGTTGAATAGGTCCAGAAAGCTAAAGCGTCACCAACGGAGTCACCAACGGCGCCTACAAGCAACACAATATTGGCTGAACACACCGAGCCTTTCTCTAAGGTTAGTCAGGATGTTGTGATCAACAACCCTTTACTTCCCTCGTCACAACACCGGAGATGTCCGAGAAGTTGGTTATACAGTACAGGCACTTTCTCATCTTAAAGTCGATTTCCGTTCCAGAAAGGAGAAATCTCTCAAGCAAGTACATGACCCTTGGTTGCCTGCAATATATATGCTATACATAGCAGCCACAACCTTGACGGATGAAGGAGTAGTCCATACCATGCTCCAACAAGCACAAATCTACGAACAACACGGAAGAACTAGTATAAATAAGGTACTTTGTCACCCCGTGACCGATGGCTAAGCTTGCCCTAGTTCCTCGAGCGCGCTTTTTCTTCGCCATTTGCGACTGCTTGCACACCGGATTTGAGGCACGTGACTAGATGAGAACATCGTCCGCCTACCATATCTTATTCGTAACCAATGGGGCTCTATGTTGTGCGCTTTTCCATAGCTATCGGTGCGCCTTGATCGACATTGCCCATGCAAAATCAAATACTTGAAGCAAAATTACCAGGGCAAAGCAAGCTTGAGGCAAATCCTTACACTAGCTAAAGGAATCCCTGTCTACATCCTACCCTGTTCCGTGATCAAGGACATCCTGGGCATCCTGGCCCCGGGACGTCTCGTTTGAATTACTCCTTTGGATATATTTGACTGTGCTCGGGTTAGCGCGGTCACCTGGGGGGACTTGACCGGAAGTGATTGGCAGGGTGGGATCAGAGCCACGACTTCATTGGTCGTCAGTTCCACAAATTAATATCATTGGATAGTGCGCTTTTGGTTTCGAGCACCTCAATAGCCAACGGTCTCTCGATTCTAAAGACAGGAAGTACACTCGACAAGGCTGTGCCCCTCCACGGACGAAGCTCCATATGAAAAATTTCCGCAATTTGTAAACTATTGCCAAGAAGGTGGTTTCTCGTTCAAGGAGTATGCACACTGTTTCTGAGTGCATGGCGCACGTTTCGCGCACGCGCTTGACGGGTAGATCCCGGCACATCATCCGGTTACTGAGGTCAGTCCGATTGGTTGTCCTGGCTTTTTGCTTTAATCGGCTGGGCGCTGGGCTATTCTTGTCAGCAAGAACACCAAGCTCGCATTTAATCACTCGCATCTCTTGCTGTCACATTCTCATCGAATGGAAGTCGCGTCGGCTTCTTTGGCCTTAAGCCAGCATTGGAGTAAAAATCCAGGAAACATGGAGCACCCTCGCCTTAGATGAGGTATCAAACCAGTCGAATAGACAGCAAGCCCCTGTCACAAGTGGGGATGCTAAGTGCAGGGCCAGTTAGGTAGGAAATGAGTCGAACCATTATTAGAGCGGAGACAATGAGTGGATGGCGATGAACGGTGTGCAAACTGCGCATGGAGACAAGACGGGACTGTCATAAAGGGGATTGATTGGTCCGTTGGAAACTGTTCAAGGCGGAGTACGGAGGTTAATAACCATCACGAGTGCAAAAACCCCAGAATCCAATATGATTGGGCAATCTGTATACCGCCTCCTTTTCCGCCCGCAGTGTTTATCCTGTTCGCCTTACCCTAATTAGGTTAGCCAGCATGGAGTGGAACAGGCTTACCGTTCCAGGTCGGAATACTGTGACATAATCCACAGGCGAATAAAACACCCCAAAACTCCATACTAAATGTGATAAATAACAACTTCATATCTCAAAAGCCGTGGGTCTTTCGGATAAAATATGAGGCTTGTATAACCTCGATAGCGTTTCTGACCTACTGGTGCATTGAGAGTTTACTTTTAGAAAACTCATGGCGATATATATATCCGTGTCTCAAGGTCAAAATGATACGGTATTTTATGGTAACGCGTCGAAATAATGCTCTCACTAGCTCAAAATCTAGGCATATTATTCTTTTTGCTTAGAAAAGTGTTAATTCAAAATTTAACAAAAATAAAGCGCTGGTGGTTGAGATATAGAGGAATAAAGATGTAGCATTGGATATAGTATTTTATAGTTTCACTTGCCTATAAATTACATTACTGAATCTCCGATTCAGTACGCTACTGTAGTGTAGTGTACAGTATACAAGACCGTATGACTATGTATTTTTCAGAAGCAGACAATCCTTTCTTTTGATTTTAACATAGTGCAATTCCTACTGTTCTGTGCTCACATGAATAACTTCTATTTTCCCATGCCACGCCCTCAAATTGACCTGGAGCCTTACAGGGAGGAGATTACTCTCTTATATTCTCAGAATGCACGTATTGCCAATATCCAGACCATCATACAAAGCCACGGCGTCAATATCTCACTCCGCACGCTCAAAACTCGCCTTTCTTCCTGGGGCCTACGGCGCCAGCTACCTAGCCAAAATGAAGCTTTGCACGCTCGCCTTCTCACACTAATTACCGAGGCAGGTTTATCGGCTAAAGAAACACTCGAAGTGCTACAGAAAGAGGGATTCCGGGTCTCTGAACCTACGCTTGAAAGGTTACGAAAACGGCTTGGAATTCAGCTTCGTACAAACTGCCCGCTTCAGCGGCAGCAGCAACGGCTCGAAATCGAGGTTCTCTTGACTGAGGAGCTTGGAATTGGCGATGTCGAAGGCTATAGGCGTCGGATTCTCTATCACCACCTTCGCCGGCATGGTTTTCTTTTCCCACAGCACCGAGTATTCGAAGTCTACCGCTCTCTTCGCCCTGACTCACTCCTCCGCCGATCATACGATCTCCAGCGCTCCCGCGGCGAGTATTGGTGCCCTGGGCCGAATTTCGTGTGGCATGTGGATGGTTATATGAAGCTAGCGCAGTTCGGGGTTGAGGTTTATGCTGCTATTGATGGGTACTCTCGGTATATTCTCTAGATATACGTGGGAATTAGTACTCGTACCGTAGTGAGCGTTCTCTCTCAGTTTCTTGACACCCTCGCCGAGCTCTCCTACCAACCGGAGATTATTCGGTCTGACCTCGGCTCGGAGACCTCCCTTATTGGGGATGCACAATGGGCGCTGCGGCAGGTGTTCGATCCAGAGGCTACCCATGGAGACTGTTTCTGGCTAGGGCGAAGCACAGATAACCAGAGAATAGAGGCTTAGTGGGCGCAGTTATCTAAGTCGTGTACTTTTCTCTATTACCAATATTTCCGGGAGCTCCGGGAACAAGGTAAGTCATCCTGCCCACTATCCGCTGCTGGTACTAATCCTCTATAGGTCTCTTCTCCGGCTCTATCCCTGAGCAGGTCGCCCTTCTTGCGGTTTATATGCCTACGCTCCGCCGGGTTATTGGTGAGTACGCTAAGACCTGGAATATTCATAATATCCGCAAGCAAAAGTCACGGCCGAACGCCGTTACTGGGAAGCCTTTTATGAATTATTTTAATGCGTCTAAGCCGGATTACCAGCGCGCAGTTGATCAGATGCTGCTTCGCGAGCTCCAGGAGGACGTCCGGGACTGGGATAAAGATGAATATTTACCCCCTGATGTCCTTGCTTGGTGCCACCAGCAGCTTCAGGAGATTGGAGCCGAGCTTTATGGGCCTGGAAATGGCTTCAATCCTGATAATTCTCCGTCTCGTGTTCCAGAGGAAGTTAGCCAACCTTACCGGGTCGAATATCTCGAACTCCGCCGCCGTGCTCTTCTTCATGACCAATTAGATAAACATCCAGTGCTCTGTCTTACTACGAAACCCCTCGGTGCATGGGATTGGGAGCCTGGAGAGGCACAGGAAGGCTAGTTTTCAGCACCTCTCTGTAGGATCTCGGCCCAAGATCTAAATTCAGGCTGATCAGCGTGTGCTACCGCGCTCTTGGGATTTTACGATAGCCAATTAGTATCCACGAGGTAGGGGATCGACGGAGGTAGTTCGGTATATAAACTTTCTTACGTATACATGTCTCAACGCCAAAAGACCAGGTTATCATAGTGCCACATAAAGTGTTAAACAGGGGAACTTCCGTCCTGACTAGTACTAAAGTGAGTAGTATTAAACATGCCTATTTGAATGTGGGTGAATTGAAGATTGTGAGGTCCGTTGGATGATCCTCCGGGGTCTGCCATAGCGTGTTACATACTATACTTCCGGAGCTATCCGGATTGCCATTAAAATCTAATGAAGGCGTGGAAGCTGAGTAAGCCTGTCTTTGGATCCCTTGTGGTAAGATATCTGCGCCTTAGTTCGTCATAAAATCTTCGCTAAGTACTAATTTTACAAGAGGAAATTCATTCAGTTTCAAGATAACTCGGCTCCTTCTTATATTTAAATTATTTTTGTACCTGATATTCTTCCTCAGAAACCCTCCCACTTGTGTTTCTATGGCTAACTACCGGAATACCCTGGCCCATCGTACCGGGGAAGATGTTTTTGCTTATGGTCCTATCTCTACTGCCCAGATCACCTCCCCTACGTATAGTACGAGCTCTTCTATACAGAATTTATCCTCTTCGGCCAGGGCGACGCTATACCAGAGAAGCCTCATTACCCCAGAACCACGCTTCCAGGCCTTATCAGGGACGACAAATAAGATACGGCAGCGCCAGATCCAGCAGCAGTCGATTCAGCGCCAATTTATTGGTAGGAGAAGCTCTAGAGGTAGCCGCCTCAGTCGAGGGCGGCCTCAAGTTCCTACAGCACCAGCAACGGTCTCATTAATCGTCCACTGCTATCTATATTAGTACTTGGGGTCGGGAAAGCCAGATAGGCTTGAAAAGCTAAGTATAGAGAGATCCCGCGGCCAAGAGAGAGATATACTAATTTTCCTCGTTATGAGTAGCTACAGTTACCCCAATCCTTACACCGGGTACTATTAATAGCTTCGTCGACTTCATCGAAAATGAGCTCCTAGTGGAGCTCGATCCTGAGGATTACATGCGTGAGCAAGGAGATACATTTCGATTTGCAACTGCAGTTAAGAATAAAAAGGAGCCATGGTTCCTAGGCATACGGGAAGATCATAAACAGCTCCTCACAGACTTCTGTACGAAATTTACCAAAATCAAGGATAGTTATGAGGTCTTCCTGATTATCAAGAGAAAAAGACTTGAACCAGTGACGATAAAGCTTGAAGCTGAAGCTCCTGTGGCAGCAGGAGCTCCAGCGCCATCTCCTCCGCCCTCAGAGGTATCTATCTCATCATCTCTCCCATCGCTAGGAGCAATTATCAGGTCATTATCACCGCGGAGAGCTGTGGAGTTTACTCCGCCGCCGGCGCAGCCAGCGGCGCTGCCGCAGCGGCGAAAGCGAGCTCGTGTGCCGCCAGGGATCTCTCCACCACGTACCCGGCGGAGATACCAGCTGCGAGAGTCGGATATGGAGAGAATGACTGCGTCAGGACCTGTTTCGGAGACCTGGAGGGCAAACAGCGGGTAATTAGCATATAACATAGATGAGGGAGTGGAAGGACTGGAGAGGATGTGTCATTTCATGTTATTTTTTTCGATTTTGAGACTCAATCAACTTCAATTTGCATGTCTTGACTAGTCAGGAAGAGAAGAGAGTTGCTTTTTAGCGAAAACACGTTATTTGGAAGAACTCAGCTTGTTTTAGTGCTTCTTGGGTAGAGAAGGGCAGGAAGACGAGTTGGCAGATCAACAGGACGTTAAGTCTGTCTGTAGGTGCTGGATAAACTAAAGCCTAATTAGGCATAATTGACGCTCCCTGGTATTACGCTAGTTGTAATAAGGCTAGACTGGTACCAGCATAACTATCCACACCACAGCTAAGTGGGCAAAACGGGAATTCTGCCGGACAAAAACCACCATTGGTCATTTTTGCACTCGTGATGGCTATTAACCTCCGTACACCGCCAAGACCTTAGCGCCGATCATTCATTGAGCGGGCCAGATTAAATTGAGGGGCAACGCAAAATGCACCTTGTACGGTACAGTATCTAACTCCAAAAATTACACGATGCAACGAGAATTCAGGTCTCTGCAACTCATGCGGAAAGAGCCTGGATCCTGGAGAATTTACCACGTGACTGGAGCCTCATGGAATTCCTCTTTCTGCTCGCTATCGCGCCTCAGAATCAACACTCTCTTGCACTTGTGGACGTTCGACAAAATTGCCGAGGTCACGCCTCCTTACTTTGCCACCGCACAGGCTTCTGATAACCTATTAAAAAATATCTCTCATAGTAGCATGGGTAGCATGTGACATGACATCCTCGTGCAGCCTTCTGGTCTTTCCAAGCCAATCCATCATTCTCTCGCATATATCTACCCGCTCCTTACATCTGTCGGAGTGCTACCTCCGTATAGAGGACACAATTGCACCTCGTCTCAACCATTCTACCAAGATTTTCACCTTTCTGGCCGATCTTGACATAAGCTCAAAATCACCCACTATCTATCGCCACCCAAGAAAATAAACCGCCACAATCGGGAGTAAGAAATATTGCATTCCGGGATATTGTCTTCGGAAGTGCCCACAATTTGAGCAGCAGTCATTTTTGTATTCATACATTACCCTGACTGACATTCACGAGGATGTTGGCCATACTTTTGTGCATTACCTATATTCAGGATTTTACGAGACGATAAAATCGCCGGTCGAGGACGGCACATCCAATGTGGCAAGGGAGTATAAGAGAAGAGTCCTGGTTTACCAGGCATCCAGGACATACGAGCTTCCTACTCTTGAAGCCTTTGCCAGGAATTACATGGAACGGCTTGGTGAAGAAATGTCTATGCCTGATATACTGCGGATTACAAGGGAGGTCTTTTCAAAACTTCCCGACGACGAATCCTGGCTTCCAAAGTATATCGAAAGAAACCTTCGGCAGTCATTGGGGTCTAACAAGTCAGACTTCGATCTGGACGAACTTTATAATGCGCTCCGTCAGGATCATTTTTTCGATAATACTGTGACAAAAATGATGCTCGAGATACTCCTTCGTTCCCAGGAAATCACCTCACAGGACGGGAAGAAGCACTGCGAGCAGATACACAGCCATGAGAACGGACAGGTAAGTACATTGATATACGAACCTCTGAACGAAATAGCTAATGGGCGACAGTGCGCAGAAGAGTCGCCCGACCGAAATTCCGCTTCTGTGGAGGCTGTTGCCGATGAGGCTGTTGCTACTGATGAGCCGGTTGCTGCCGATGAGCCTGTTGCTGCCGATGAGCCTCCTGCTGTTATTGACGAGCCTGTTGCTACTGATGAGCCTGTTGCTGCCGATGAGCCTCCTGCTGTTATTGACGAGCCTGTTGCTACTGATGAGCCTGTTGCTGCCGATGAGCCCGTTGCTACTGATGAGCCTGCTGCTACTGATGAGCCTGTTGCTACTGATGAGCCCGTTGCTGCCGATGAGCCTCCTGCTGTTATTGACGAGCCTGTTGCTACTGATGAGCCTGTTGCTGCCGATGAGCCTCCTGCTGTTATTGACGAGCCTGTTGCTACTGATGAGCCTGTTGCTGCCGATGAGCCCGTTGCTACTGATGAGCCTGCTCCTACTGATGAGCCTGCTGCTACTGATGAGCCTGCTGCTACTGATGAGCCTGTTGCTACTGATGAGCCCGTTGCTGCCGATGAGCCTCCTGCTGTTATTGACGAGCCTGTTGCTACTGATGAGCCTGTTGCTGCCGATGAGCCTCCTGCTGTTATTGACGAGCCTGTTGCTACTGATGAGCCTGCTCCTACTGATGAGCCTGCTGCTACTGATGAGCCTGTTGCTACTGATGAGCCCGTTGCTGCCGATGAGCCTCCTGCTGTTATTGACGAGCCTGCTGCCAATGAGGATTTGCCGGATAAATTCCTCCCGACTAAAGTCTCGCTTGTGGATGTGGCTCTATACAAGAACTGGAAAAGCATGTCCTCTAAGAAGAGGGCAAAACGAACGCGAATTCTTGTAGCAAAGGGTCTTCCAATCCCAGAGGAAGACGGCCTAGTTTCCATCTTCGTGGTGTGAAGTGTCCTACTTTTAATATTGATCTAGTATTCTCTATATTCGCTGTATTCTGCCATAATTGACAGCTCTTGTGTCCATATGAATGGTCATGTAGCAACCCAAAGTTTAGCAAAGCTTGGCGCATTGCAGCTGTTCGGTGCTCTGAACTGGTGTTGCGTGGGATAGCAGGAGCCTATTCAAGTGTGATCTAGATCAGCAGGGCCTTCAGCGCACACAAGTTCAGGACGCAGAAAAGACCAAACCTTGATGTGTTTGGCCCGGGAAAGATCACCGCGGTAGAGTTCCCACATCACTCTTTTAGTTCCACTGCTGCAATTGGAGGCACTATGTTTAGTCATCCCCTTGGAAGCCAATCATCGACCCGACGAAGAGGAGCCTCCCCTATAGATAAGCTCGTGGATTAAATAGCTAGATATTCAATGGCTCTGTGCAAACTAGACAAACGGAGATTATGCAAGTATGTGTTGTCCAAACCCGGGCGGGGTAAAAACACAAAACTTTGGCTGATATAAATGCGTTGAGTGACTCAATCAGAATCTCATTCTTCTTCCTATCATATTACCACCGAGGAAGCAAAGGCAACGATGGGTTGTACGGAGTATTTGGATCACAAATATACCTCGCCCAGAGTCAACCAATGTTGAGAAGATCGGGCCATCCATCACGAAGGTGGAGCATCTGTCTTCTTATAATTGGATCGAATCGCCTAGCCCCACTATTGCTGTACCCGGTTGCCCGCCTCTTTGGTCTCCACCCAAAACCCGCAAGAAAGTGCCCAAAGACTCTGGGCTCATTTACATTGCTCAAAACGCGTTTCGCCATCCTGAAAGTCCGCTTGAGCCACTTTTTCGCTCGTTGTATATTGAAAATCCTTCATACAACATACACCAAGTTGATTTGATAACTGATCGAAACAACGTCCGCAAGCTTCTGTCGTTCATCAATCCAAATCTCACTAAAAAATGGACGGGAGCCTTTTACCATTGACATTGAGATCACAGGCAATACAGCAATTTTTTGTCGGGCAGAAACGGAAACACATACATTCATTGGGCCACATGATTTCAGAGGTTACGGTCACGAGTTTGAGAAAGCTTTCACTACAATCCAAGTATCCGGTAGCACTGGACATCATCGGATTATCTCCTACAACTTTGGTGGTTTGAAATTCATAGTACGCTATGAAACCGACGCATATGTTGATGACGTTTCAAAACCTCAATCTCACAGTGTGGATTCGAAAAATGAGAGTTTCCTGAACATGATGGAAAATCTGTCTCTTTCGCGAACCGAAAATCACTCTCGCGTTCCCACCGAATCCAAATTAGTGATTCAGGAAGAAGGCAAACCAGTATCAATCAAATCAACTCTTGAGATCAAAACACGTGTCTCCCATAAGCCTATCAACATCCAAGAAGTTCTTCCTCAGCTATGGGTATCGCAAACACCCAATCTTGTCCGTGCCTACCACAATGGGGGCATGTTTGGACCGCCAGAAGTCAAAGACGTCACTTATGAGATTGCTGAGTGGGAAGAAAATCATGCTAATGACCTTTGGGGATTGGTTGCATTGGTCAAGGAAATCATTAGAGTGGTGAGAGAAAATGAGGGGAATGCCGTCCTTAAATATGACGGTCGAAGTGATAGCCTTGCGGTCTGGACGAGAGAAGGGAGCAGGATGTTACCAGATGATCTTTATTTCAAACTCGGTGCTGAAACTGTACCGACTCAAGCGATTGAATCAAATTCTCGGAAAACAACACTCAAAATTGGGGATACTTTCTACAATGTTGACATCTCAGTGATACCATACTTATCATCATTTGTCAGGTTTCAACGACTTGTCCAGCCGCAAAATACGAAATTCGTCCATGGCAATATTGCCTTATTTGATATTGCTCTCAAGGGCCTGGAATCAGGCTATCGACAATGTTTCCGCTCTTTGCGAGGTGATATTCCTCAGTATCACACTCTCTGTGAAACATATGACTTTCTCGGGGTCGACGTACTTGCCGGGCAGTCCATTGATGATATTTTTGCCGATTTGAGGGCCTGCAAAACTGATTATGCACTCGAATATAAGCGTTATCGAGCTGTAAGGGGCGATAAATCTCGAGCACGAGACGCCGCATTTCGACTTTTATTCCTGATAATACGCAGCGAATTCAGTGATGAAAAGAAAGATCCTGCCAAGGTTTACAACGCTGTGTTATTCGTTGTCTCACATCCAGCAACCTTCAAACAGGGCACGAGAGCTGCGGTGCGATCGGTCTTTGATGAGCGTTTTGTTGTGTCCACGAAACAACGAAGCCAATTGGATCGTTGGAAAAAGGGAGCTACTATCCACTCCTCAGGCGACGAGAACACAACCGAGGATGAATCTTCTGAGCCATATCTTTCTGATGAGTCCTAAGCAAGGACGATTCGGGCGAATGATTTCTTTTGACTAGGGTTCTAGGTATCTGTGTGTGTGGTCGAGGCGCGTCTACTACCCACTTTTCACACTCATGCTCCATCTACTACCCTGCCTTGCCGCATGACCTAATATTTCCACGGGTGAAGCACAAATTGTATTTTCGTCATTTTCCTTATAGTTGATTGATCCTAAATTTATCATCAGGCTCACCTATTTGACTGTCTCCATGAAAGTATTTAAACTACAGTAGTTTTAAGACTACGGTCATACGACTCTGTCTGTTGGATTAAAAACCACGATACCTATTTTTAGTGACCACGGAAAGTACGCTTAGTCAACCTCCTGAGCCAATCACATTGAGGCAGAATCAGGGCAGCGACTTGTTACAGTAACATGTGATTAGTTTGTTCTGGTCCTTAGTGAGGCCAGGAAGAATCTGCCTATACGTTTTAGCGGGAGCTAGAATTATGCTCAGTCCATGTGGAGTTGTCCTTCATAGAGTGATGCTCAGTCCTTGCTCTCTCTCGACATTCATAATGTCGAAGTCATTGACCGGGGAAAGCTTACCCCTTCGACCCCAATACATGTTGGTAACATTACCGATTTGACAATCGAACGAGAAAAGAGGCTTGATAATTTCTCTTGTCTACGATTATCCCAAAGAGGATGGAAGTTGTTCTTTAATCACAGCGGTCTCATGTATGCACTAATATAGACAGGATAATGTCTGGCGAGTGGGGCCTTCCTACTTGGGCTGCCGCCGCTTTTATGAGGCTCAGGCACAATGGAGTAAAAGTCAGCATGGGCTCAGGTTTGTTAACGGTTCACTCAAGTGTCGACAATACCTTTAGGCTTCTCCAGTGCGTGCACTCATCCAAACTGCCAACCTTAATCTGGATAGTGGGGTTGGAGATTACTTCACCGTGGTCATGACTCATCATTCTTCAAACTCCTTACGATTTAGTAAATAAGTGAAACTCTTGGGGCCCTGGAAGGGCAAGACATTAGAAATACACGTGAATAAGGTATTTGAATATATTATGGTTAGATTTATATCGCTCGACGCTCAGATAGTAAAATCAGAGCAGGGCTCATTATAAATGCGAGAAACAGAAACTTCTACTAAACCGGCGTCGAAACAGCAGGATTTGTGGCGCTGACTTATCTCACAAAGAGCCGGGGGAAGGCCAACGGGGAGTTACAGGACTTCTCCAGTCCCAAGTTACATTGAACTACCACACTTCATGAGTACAGGTCTCTTGCAGGAGATTGCGTCCAACGCGCATTCAGCTTATGTCCCAGGAGGAAGATGCAGATCGTATCTGCAGGAAGACTCAGCTGAGGGCGATCTGGTAGTGAAGCCCCCTCGAGCCCATTGTGTTTCAACATGTTAAACAGCCTTGAGGAGTTATGCCTTGCAATCCCTAAGAATCAGTCTTGTTCTGGATCGGATCCTGTGATTCTTCTCTTGACATCTGCTCTTTTCTTACCTAGTAAACAGGGGGACATGCTCACGGCAGTCTGGTCGGAACAGACAGGTCGAGGCACAATACAGGATGGCAATCACCAGGAAAGAATAGGGATAACCAAACACCCACGGGAGGGCAGTGTTCAGTCTTTCTCGCACTAGGGATAGAAAAGACAAAGACCTGGCTAAGAAGATCGCTTCATCGCACAGAATCCTATCTCTCTATACTAGTATGCGAAACACGTAGGCAATGCGAAGGTAAAACGAAAATTATTGATGGAAAAGAGTGACTGGAAAAGAGACGGCGGACTGCTTCCTTTCTTCGAAGAAAATGAGTGTAGATGAATGAGTGTCTGTCTCCTTGTCTTCCTCTTCAATGAAGCCTCCTGAAGCGCTTCTCTTGGTAGCCGACGTTGTAAAACATTCCCTTCTTCGTTCACAGAACAAAACCAAATCCGATGATATCGATCATCGTCCTTCGTGAGAAATCACTAATCAGACTAAACCAAAGAACTACTAACACCTACTAAACCCAGCCAATCAACACTCTACTCCAGACCCGTAAGCAGTTCCCCCACTACACTAGTTGACTGACCCTTGTCCATTATACACCCCTTTACAAAAATGCCCCAGTTTCGATGATCTAGAGAGTGAGCATGTGGTACACTGTGAAAGAACTAATGTTTGGAAATTATCTTGCACATGGGATGTGAAAACGCCTTGTAGATAGGGAAGTTTGGTTTCAGTATACACTTATCGCCTAAGTAACTTCAGTCCAAACCGTCTAGCCACCAGAGAAAATCTCACACTTCGTGGGACAAAGTAATACAGGAACCAAGCCAGTGAAGCAGAGCCTCCGCTCCAGAGCCAAATGGGCTTCTTCTTCTTGTGAATCATGTTCACCACTTTGCGAGCATACTTGTCCCTCTCCATGGCTCCATTCTGCGATAAATTTACTCTCTGGAGCCAAAACTTTTCCACGTGTATATATCTCGAGTTCTCGGGGAGAGATGGATTATTCTCGCGGACTATTATTCAGTTAGTTGCTATACAATGAGTCTTGCATTTGTTGCCTTACCCATGTTACTTTTAACACCGCCGGTAATAATAGTCACAACATCCACCCTGGATTAAATGTCAGTATTAAACTAGTGCACGATAATAATGGTTTAACTCACCCTAGAGGTTTGAGCTCCATGTGGAGAGAGTCACCGTAGGCGTGAAGTGCAGCTTTGCTGGCATTGTACGCTGAAGAATATGCCACAGGTACAATTGGAGCAATACTACCGATATTGACAATACATCCTTTGGTGTTGATTAAAAGGTTGGAGCATGCCTGGACCATCCTCATTACCCCGAACACGTTGACATCGAACATGGATACCACCGCGCCATTGACATCCAGATCTAAAGCCGGTCGATGGGTTCCGCAGCCAGCGTTATTAATCAGAATATCAAGCCTGTCGTCTGTGATGGACGAGATCTCCTTCACCGCTGCTGTTATAGAGTCGGTTGATGTCACATCCAGTTCGATAGCTATCATACCCGGTTTCAGATGTTCGCTGATGGTAGATGGTCGACGAACGGCGCAGAAAACAAAATAGCCTGCTTTATGAAGTTCGACCGAGAGTGAGCCACCAATGCCTCCAATCCCGGCGCCTGTCACAAGAGCGGTCTTTTGCCCAGCTTGTGGCCTGTCTACGCTGCGATCGGCCATTTTTTGAGCCCGTTAGGGAGGTGTGTTCAACCTTTGTCTGCGCTCAAACAGGTACGTGGACGTGTTCAGTAGCAGTAAATTCCACAATGAATGCTTTAATCCCTTATGATCGGCAGATGTTGTGAGTGTAGCTTGCGGGTTGTTTGTATCGCTGTGCACTATATATAGAGATTATGATTAGTGGGCCTCCGAAGTTGGGAAGACATTTTTTATGTACCTTGACTCTTTTCCTCATGTCGACGACACAGTCAGCAGTGAGTGCAATTAACTGGAGAATACTTGACGGTATTTATACACCGAAGAGAAGCTCGGGAATACCCCTCGTGCGGGAAGGGATGTGCTAAATGCCAATGTGAGCCAAAAGAAAACGAGCAGATAGTCTGCCGAGGTAACTTTGACTCCAATAGCAGGTGAAGGATACGCATCACGCGGGAATGGGGTTTTGATTTACAGTCGGTGTCACAAATATCGATGTGAATCAAAAGAGTGAGATTCCTAGCTGCCGAGGTAACCTTGGCTGCGATAGCACTATCGGATCTGGCGTATAGATCTGCCGATCCTTGCATTTTTAGGCGGAGGGCGCGATAGTGATTGTGCGGGTACATGCACCCGCTAGCCTCTCTTCCGTAATGAAAAGCTTAACACACGAAACATAACGCTGGTGAGCGTTGACTACCATCCGGCGATACTATAGACGTTTAAAACGGTTTACTGGGATAGAGGCTGTCAAGAAGAGAGAGTGGTGATATTACCACCATTCCCCTCTAGGACTTGCTTATTCAGCGTCCTCCCGACTTTCCTATGTTTTTGTATGGTATCGAACCCAGGGGTGGTATTTTACCAGTAGAGTCAGGCCGATTCAGCGGTCACCTACTTCCCTATATGTTTTATATGGTAAATTGGGTCAATTCGGAATACCGTGTCGTAACATGCCAATACTAGCCTCAGGCTTGAGACCCTCTCAACAGCTCAACAGCGATCTCCTTCATAGTTCTGCAATCAATCATGGCGAGGTCTAAATGTCGATTGGTTCCCTCAGTACTACGGCGTACGGATATCCCACGATTCAACATATTGTAAACTGGGTCAACTCGGAAGTACTGCGTCGTAACACGCATATAATGCCCCTGGGGATCTATTCAACCGATATTCAGCTTCAATTCAATCCACAAGCTCAATCTCATTGTCCGTACGATCCGATTGGACCGATGAGTACTAGCCCTTATGGAAATCCCCCCATTTGACAGAAGCCCATGCAGAATTAAACGCCACAAACAGCGGCCGTTTCAAGGGCTAGTCCTGCCCTGAGTGGCTCCATTTTGGAGGCTGAGTCTCCTGCTCATTATAACAGGTCAAACGCTTTTGTGTATTCTCGAACTAGAGATCGAGTTCATCACTGTGCCTCGCACCGCCACCAACTTCGTATAACTCCCAAGTATGAGTCCTGAGTCCGTCGATAAAGTTTGGCTCAACGAGCCGAGGTAATCTCAGCTGGCAACCCTGTTAAATGCATCGTATGACCCCTCCACTGCTTTCGATTATTCATTTTTCATTCTTGTGTTGGCACATGAATATCAATTACGAAATATACCTCTTTGATATATAATTTGTATCCCAAAATGACTAGATCCCTTAAAGTTACAGCTGTCACGTGGCTGCTACTTTCTCTGGGCCACACGGTACGTCCTCTGAAACACTTCATTGAGTCTTACATTAGCTTTATTCAATGGGCACTTACAGAGTGATATAACACTAACAACGGTTGAACGATAGATCTCCACAGAATGGCAGTCCAACCCTGAGTTTAAATTCCTCCCCAGGATTGCGTACGCCTGCTCCAAGGCAGGATGGTATCAGGGAAGTGGGCTCTGTGTTATGCATGCTCCATCTGAAAAATAAGCGGCCCCATTGCACACATATCTGTTGCCTCAGATAAAGTTGGCGAGGGACGGTTGACTGGAAGTGGAAGATCCCGGAAAACGGGATTTGGTTGACCAAGAGGGCTAGCGGCGCTAAAATCGCAAAGAATTGCACACTCCTGTTCATCAAAGAGGACATTGTCAATCCGTACATCTGCATGGGCTGGAATCCCTCCTCATTGGGCGGGGACTGAACCAACCACTGAATCCACCTCTGCAGCGGTTAATTCCCCCCCCCCCCCCCCGGGGCGCTTCAATGTGATTGGTTATGGAGGCTGACTCAACAAACTGGAGCAATCTCAAGAATTAAATTTGATCGTCTGTCTTTCGTGGTTTTAGATCTTCTTCCCCATCCACTGGAACGTCCAGCTCCACTGCCGTCGTCATTGGGACTAGCGGGCAAAGAAGTTTCTAAGAGGCTCGCCCTTTACAGTATTACCTTCCAATCTCATCGCGTAGACGATCTTAGGCCCATTCCAGACTGGAGGTTTTAAGAGCCCCCTTAGGGACGTTTACAATGAGGTCGAGGCTAGAACTGGGAATGTGCTTGTTGTGCAGTATTCTGCATTGGGGCAGCAAGTCTGGGTACCTGGGGCCACCATAGATTTAGGACGAGCGTTTTCTGGCCTGTATGGTCCGCGGGCCGGAATGGACACATATCGAGTGCCTTTAGGCCAGTCATGTAATAGATCTGTGGAACCGTGTCCAGGCGGGCTTCAAGTCTAGAGATGTGGGTCCGTGGTTGGGAAGCTGTGGTGGGAAGGCTTTGTGTCAGAGCTAGCTAAAAGCGTACGAACTAGTAAACATGGTGGCGAATGAGGACTACCGGAATCATCAGAAAATATGTGATTGATTGAGAAAGGAAAACCCATGAGAGAATGTAGAAAAGGGGCAGGTTGAGCTGTCCCCTGGCGGTGTAACAGAGTATTCAAGTTACCATACTGGAACCCAATCATTACCCGCATATAACATGCAAACACAATAGAAAAGGTGGGACGCATTTGGGCCAATCCTATGTCACTGTAATGAATACCCCACTTTTTCTCGACACCCTTTGATCAACGGTGAGCGGCCGCTGTGGATCGCCGGGTAAAGTTGTTTCAAGACACTTTGGCCGACCTCCAGATAAGAACGGTCTTTGAAAAATGTCTCCAGAGTTGGGACTGGGTAGTCGATTTGTTGGAGTTGTTGCCAAAGTTCTTCTCGCAGTGAAGGCGACACGTTCGAAATAGCTCAGCGCTTTTCATCTTCGTTTCAAGAAATTCACAATCGCGAGGAGAGATTTTAGGTGCGCGAGATTGAAGCAATTTCATCGTTGCTCCATCCATCAGAGGCAGGAGCTCTGGACGGTCCCCCACGATTTTCAGAAAGGTCTTCAAAATCAAGTTCCAATAACATAGGATTGGCTGCAACGTAAAGCATCAGCGAAAGCTTCGGCATTTCCAGACAGTGACGTACCTCATCGCAATGCATGGTTAGCAACTTGTGTAAAAGACCAATACGCATTCCTCCCCATAGACCAGGAATGACCAGCAGGGAATCCAATTTCTGGGGAAATTGTGGATGCTTTAAGAATGCGCGAAGGTATTTTCCCTTTTTACTGCCAGGCGTTGTCTCCAGCATGGCCCACCAATCTTTCGCAGCCCACTCATCTATTGGTCCGTCTAGATAGCCTTCATAGTAACGAATCCGCTCATATATCAATCCATCAGGCGGCCGACGATCGTTAGGGAATCGCTCGTTCAGTGACCGAAAAAATCGCTTCACAGTATCAGGATTGGTGTCATGGTCGTCTGGACGACAGAATGATCAGCAAAAACACTTCCACGTCTTTGTGCAGTTGGGTGGGAAGAAATTGAAATGGCTTACCGTCCTCTTCCACTACATAGACATCGGCGATCCACCATTGGTTGTGAATACTGAGCTTGCCCAAAGCGGCCCGGATGAGACTTTCATGGTCCTGGGCACGGAGCTGATAATCTGGATCAACATCAAGCCAGAAATTGATACCGTCGCGTGAACGCAGACGAACGCGAGTATTCCAGTTAGCCTTGGGTAAGATGACAGGAAGATGGTTATTTTGCATTAATCGCCAACAGCCTTGAATTTTCATGCACCGTTTTATCCGGCTGGTATTCTGACCATTGTCCATGTGCCTGCGAAAACTCTGTTCAAAAGAAAAAATGTGCTAAGTGGACTCTCGCGGATAGTTGGAAGCGTCGCTGACGGTGAGTAACGACATCCAGCTCCATTTCATCGATTTCAGACTGCTGATACATCGGCATAGTGGGCGTTTCAAGTTTCCTAGCCAGCCAGTGCTCGAGCCTTGCTGTGTAGATTATGATGAATGCAACGTCTGAGATTCTACAAGAGAGCCTTCCTGGACACTTTATATTACCAAATTGGTGCCTCCCGAAAAATATTGAGGCTACTCAAAGTGAGACTCTTTGTTGAGAGAATTTCTAGTCGTCAGTTTTGAAATTGGTCGCATCAGACATTGGAGGAGCTTAATGGAAAGCTTAAATTTTATACCGAGCTACTCGTGAACCATCGATCGGCCTAGTTCCGTAAATCCAACCGGTATCTCGGGATCCATTACTAGATTACCGTGGTAGGGGCGTCTATACTCGGTAATCTTAGTACCGGATCCCGAGATCACTTCTAATTCGTGCAGCCTGAGTATCGCGTCGTGCCCCACGAGTTCTATTTTCGCAGTTGGATATTCGCTACCGCTATGTGTGATTTTTAAAGGCGAAGTTGCTATCGCTGGTTGGTTTGATAACCTACCATAAGATTGGCGATTTGAGGTCTCTAATACCGGCTGGACAACCGATGAGATTGGCCTACGCTGGCTACAAAAGCTATTTATCCTATTAACGAATTCGCGCGTACCCGGCCGCTTTCGATTATTGATTCTTGACGGCTATAGTAGCCACCTTACGCCCTAATTCGACCGAGTTTGCGTAGAAAACGATATTATACCTCTTTGTATGCCTGCGCATTCATCACATCTACTAAAACGCGCGTACGGTCGCTTCGTAAGCGATCTTGCGCGTAGAGGATATAACTATATCGATAAGGGCGATTTTTTAGAGAGCTACTGACACGCGCGGCTAGAGGCCTTACAAAAGCTAGCTATTATTCAGAATAGCTTCGTAGCTAGTGGCCTAGTGCTAGTCGATGCAGAAAGAGTGCTTTCGAAGCTTAATATCTCTCTACGAACGCCTACACCACTAGGTAGCCGGCTAAGTAGCAGATCTAGCCAATTCACACCAAAAACGCCTAGAACCGTCGTTTAGCTACAAAAGCAAGCTTTAATGCTTAAGGATCTACTACACCGGCGGTCAACTAGCCCTCCGAGCCTAATCAAAACCATGCTAGATCAGATTATTAAGGGCACTGCACTATCGCTTCACAACACAGCGTTAGCGCAGGATAATGCGAATTTACGCATGGCAAATGAGAGGATCATCAAGAAGCGCAATCGGTCAACTAAGCAGATACTCTGCGAAGAGGGTTTGACCGTCGAAGAGGGCCTACAGTTAGCACCGCGTAACATCAGTGGCATGGGGGCAATCGGCAAGGCAGCAACTAACGTCGTCGGTCTGGCTAGCGCTAGGAGTGATAGATTGAACATTGTAGCATTTAGCAATACAATCCGTATCCTTCGCGGCACCAACGTTTGATACGTTAGCCTGGAAAAGGATTAAGAAGAATGACGAGGGATCGAAACAGCTCTTCGCGCACTAAGACTCCGCTACATGTTGCTTCTGAGAGAGGGGACGAGGCTGTCGTCAAGCTGCTTCTTCAGACCGGCTCCAGCAAGGACGCAAAAGATAAGGTAGGCATGACAGGAATGGCAGGCAACACTCCGCTCGATGTTGTCGCTGACTTAGGGCACAAGGCCTTAAGAGGGCTTAGGGGAAATCCATGGTAATCAGACATCGCTATAGACAACTGGGCTTTAGAACGCATTTGAACGCCCAGGTCTTCTCTCTGTTTGACTCTGTGACAGTTCACAAACGCTCTGAGTCGTACGTCACTTCAATTCTTACGATCAGCTTGGTAGCACACGGGGCTCACCGACTATAGAGTCCGTTTACGAAAACGTCCCACCGAGCACTCCACTGGTGGAAGACCAGTGGGTCATTAGCGAGACAGACGCTGTGCACGGGAAGTTAGGGCGTTCAATCCCGCAAAGGGTTGGTAGTGTGGTAGCACCAGGGCGGAAGGGGCTCCTTACGTTCACTACGGTGCTTGATACCTGAAGCTATATTTGTTCAGTTTAACCGCCATCTTCTGGTCGGAAGATTTGTGGCTCTTCGAGCGTAAACGTTGGGTGTTGTCTTGCGCGGTCAGCTTCCAGTGCGATCGTGTTGTATATTGTCTGTCTTCCCAGTCATTTCGCTCTCAAGGGGTTTTGATATTACCAGAAAAGAGTAGTTTCTATTTACATTCGCTTCCAATCTTGATAAACCTCACGATATTAACTAATTCGAAGGTGGTTGAAACTCTTGGATCAAGATGGGAGGAGTGGCAACATCCTGCTTCTTGTTTGCTTGTCACAGTTGATAGCGAAGCAATGACGTTCATTTCTTGTTAACTGTAATTTACTAAGTAGTTCTTCATGAGAAGTGGTTAGGACTATGAAAGGCCCAATCACTGTCGATAGTTCTGCTGCATGGGCTGAGAACTTCTGATGAGCATCATAAACGCCCCATCAACAGATTCGGCATGATCTCAAACGCCCGCACAGAACGTTGGCCTCAAGAGATCCCATCGGACACGGTAGTGGACTTCTGGATCAGAGATTCAAGTAAAATACTGAGGGCCATGACTTTGATGGCCTGGCGGCGTAAAACCCTGCACTCTGCTTCTGAGATCCCGACTTGCACGCGAATCTGCTTGAGCTGTCGTAGAAGTCGTCTTCTCTCCCTTCGTAGACCCCGCAAGAATACTGCCGCTTGTGACTGTCTCGGGGCATCCTCTACATAGCTCCGGGGCCGCTCGAATTTTCCTGTCCACTTCATCGTTTCGCCTTGCAAATTTGCAGTTGTATGGTGAATCGGACAGATACTGAAGAATGCTTTTCGCTCGCACGGCGTCTGCGGGAATCAGATTGAAACGGCAGGACTTGTGTACGGCCAACTGAGGTCACCAGTCAGAAAGATCACTCCCAGGGATCTAACACTTACCAACGGTATTGACCTTGGCTGCTGGTGTGGAGACTAGGGGAGACGTCTCGGAGAAACTCAAAGTCAAATGCACCTTTATGAGTGCCCGTCGAGTCGACAGTTTTCGCTACGCCACCAACATCTCAAATGGATTCTTTTTGGCTCTGGGCGTTCAAAATGAAGTAACCCTCCCTCGCCTGTTTATCTTTTGATGTCCTAATATGCTCATGCGAACGGCGGCCCACTTGGGCAATTTGTCATTGAAGACACACTCTGGATCGAGTGCGGGCCTGGGCACGGTCGATCCGGAGAATGGAAAAACGGAGTTTCATTCCTTGGCGCCTCGGCCTGTTACTGTATTTTGTATGCACCTCATAAATAAACAGCACCCCTGCCGCCGTCTTGAACGTGTGGGCTGTGGGCCGCTACAGAGAATGGAGTTTCCAACATCTCCCCAACCAATGTAACCATGGGGCCAAAGGGGTAAGAATTGAGGTCGCCGTCCAATTGGTGGATTGCAGCCCATTGGAGTGAAAATGATGGTCCTGCGTAAGAGTCAAGCTCAAATGGACGTCGAAGTTATCGAAGTTACCCAAGTTAACCCATTGAACAGACGCTTAATTACGCCAGCCGTTTGCTGCTTAATTACACAACCTGTTGAAGGTGTATACAACGACACAATCAATCACTACCAATGACCCGTCTATTTAAATAAAATAATCTAGATTGGATTTGTGTGTGTAACTCACGCAGACCCTTGTCTGAGTTTATTCCCATGAGTCTAGAGGTGAATTGGTTCTTCTACGGTGGAGCAGTTTAACCAGCATACTAAACATGCAGCGTGTAAGAAATGTCCAAGATATGCAATATTTAAGTGTTTATTTTAGTGCGAGTTCCTGTACATGGCAGGCTCTCGGCCAAAACGAACGAACAGGGGTAAAAAGAGGTTCGACCAACCTTGACCACTGCTTTGGCGCTGTTGGTGATAGAGATGCAGCGCCCACTTCATTGATTCGTCTGCAGCCCGTGATCGCACTAACTCGAGCACAGTCAAACTTATCTAATGAGAAAATCACGACAAATTCTTGGACAAATCAGGAATCTGGTTACCTTGGTCGGGTTGCCCGCAGTCACGGGGTGATGTGCAGGGATCTACCCGCCGAATGCGTGTTCCGATTGTGCGCCACGGACACGGACCTGGAACCAACCAAGTTACGAGTTCCTCCCACAAAATATAAATCACCAGATCCGCAGTTAGATTACCAAACACGGCAGGAGTACAGCTTGAGTTATATTTTACCCGGGGACAGAGCAATGCCTTGTCGATAAGACTTTCCGTATTCCTAACCGAGATATCGCTGGCTGTATGGAATATATGCAACTGAAAGCGCATTCAATGGTATGGATCTAATAATACTTTGTCTATATGATGAGCCTCTTCTGCTTCGTATTCAGACTCGGGTTGGCTCCCGGAGAAGTTCGAAGTCAAAGATAGAGATCTTTTGTTGTAAAAATATATAGCATCATTAGCTAGGAGTATAGATAGAAGTCGGTCTAGCTGTACCCTGTATTTGCGTTCGAGGATGCCCGAGAGGCGGTTGAGGGGGCTCTGTGCGTCTCGCCCTCGGCAGGGCGGTCCAGGTATGCTTCCGCTGCATTCCGTTGAGGCCATATCGTCATATAGCGGCGTAGTTCTTATACGCATCGTGGCTTCTAGTGCAGTTTGCTCGAGTTGCTGTTTCACTGGGAGTAGGTGCGCTTCTACGTCCACTGCTGCACCAGCCGTTGTCCGGAACGCTCCTGTGATGATCTGGCTGCACGCCTCTGGATCCGCTGGATAGTGTTTATCATCGCGCCTCCTCTGCTTGTGTAGCTGCTACCAGGGACATGCCATGCCGAGCAGCCATAAAGCATCTGGGGTACGATCATTGCGCGATATACACGCCGGAGATTGACGGTCCCTGTGGCCCATGTTGAGGAAGCGAGTGCTGCTAGAGCCGAGAGTCGCTTTGTTGCTCCCGCTTCTACCTTCTCGCGGTGGTAGTCCCAGCGAAGCTTGGTGTCCATTTGAATACCCAGGTATCGACACGATGCGGAGGCTTTGATGGTGGCGTGTGGCAGGCGGAGAGGATGTGTGCAATTCTTTTTGGGGTCTCTAGTGAAATGGACCAGTTCGTATTTTGGCCAGTGGCTGCCTCTAGGAACTTTACCTAGAGTCCCAGGAGCAATAGAGCTCTCAGGAGAGGTTGTTCATGTTCCCAGAGACAGACTTTACACTCCTAGGAAGCCAGCCCGCGATCCTGAGAGCTTTAAACCCCTCCTAGGAGTAAACTTGCTCATCCCAGGACCGGAAAGCTTTTGAGGGACTCTAAAGAGCTTCAGCTAAGTGGTAAACCTAAGGATATCTGAATTAGATCAATCCCAGAGGTATTTCTCTCGATCCATGGACGTAGAAAACCGATTATAGTAGCACGATAACTCCCAGGGCCAGCTCATGCGTCCCCAGACCGTGTAGAATCGTTAACAGGGCTAGTTGCTCCATGGAACAAACAGCGTGATCCTAGAGGCGATGTAAATCCTCCTGATGCAAGAGGAGGAATTAATGATTATCGAACAAATGCGCAAACAATGTCGCTAGAGAGGTTACGCACTACAGTACCAAGGCTCTATGAGAAATGACAATATGTTTCTTCTGGTCACAGATTACTTGTTCACTTACAACTACGTTTCTTTCGTACATCTTATCAAAACATATCAAGGTGCGAAAGCGGATCACTTATTCAATTATCAAATTTGATGTGCGCTCGATCTGGGTGCAAAATTGACTACGCATACACCTTATAGCTGGCTAATTTTCTTTGCTTGTCGTTCTGACGTCACGCGTTCCCTTAATACAGCCAGTGTTCGATTAAATATAGCAACAAGGATGGTTCAATGTATTGTTAGTCAGCTTCGCAAAGTTCGAGAAACCCCCTCTTTGCGTTCTCAGAGGATGAATGCAGCACGTACTGCTCCCGCTGAGCAGCCGCGCGAACGAGAGGGTCGAACGGCATTATGGGCTTAGTGGCTTTCACAGAAACTCTCCATGAGGTGCAACTATCGGTCCCAATATCATCATCGATTACTTCCCACTGAAGGCGGACGTTTGCGGGACCACCAGGTTCTGAGACGAGCATTTGGTTCAGCGTACCAGTGACTTGTGAGTAGTCTAGCCACAAATTATCGATAGGACCGCGGATACCGTGGGTGGTACTCCAGTCTTCCGAAAACCGAATCTTACCAGCAAATATGCCTAGAAAGTCTCCCTCACGCACAGGGACGATGGAACAGACGAACAAGGAGCTGCTATCTTTAGGCAGGAGAAAGGTGAATGCGGACTTATCTCCACCAGATACTGATTGGTTGTCGTAGGGTGCGCATATGACATCAGGAGAGAAAGCCTGCAAACCCTTTTCCTTGAAGCTTTCTTCTTCGATAGTGAAGGCCCATTCATTTTTGGCATTGTTCCAAGAGGACTCGTGAACTTTCAGCCTCTCTACCACTTGGGGGTCCTCAAGATCAGATAGGCGCATAACGTCGCCTTTCGCGAGTCTAAGAGCCCGTGTTTCCAATTGTTCGATGTGAGGTCTATGCTGGGTCTCCCACTTCATTATTGTATCCACAAGGGAGGTTTCTGACGTTTTTGGATATCCCTTGCAGAAGCTGTCGAATTCCTTGGTGCGGTAATAGAGGACTTTGTCAATGCCGGCTTTACGCATGTTGAATAGGTTTTTCCAGAAAATGCGGCATTGGAGTTGGTTTTCGGCACCCAAACTGTATCCAGCATCTTCCATAAATTTCTTGGTTGCAGCTTTTTCCGCCATGGTGAATCCGTCTGCAGGTCCTTTGGCGGACGGCAGCTTTGCAGGATCGGTCAACGCCGCACCCTTGAGAATGATTTTCCAAAAAATAGTTTCGTTGTATCGATTTTGCAGACCCTTTCCCGTGGCCAATGCATTGTCTCTGCGGATAACGTCGATTGCCTTCTCATAATCATATTCTGAAATCTCATCAACATATTTCCGGATCTTGTCAGGCTTGGTTGTTGTCGGGGCACCGCTCGTTCGATGCCCGTATAGAGCAATGGAGAAATTGACCTTCGCGCATTCGAACAATATTGATGACATTGCTTTCACTGTATACGCAGAATCTGCTTGATAAGACGACAAAGCGTCGACGGGGAGATCCAAAAGGTGAGCACCTTTCAGGTGGTCGTCGTCGGGCTAGATCAAAGGACGTTAGCCTCGGATCAAGTACGTGAAACAAGCGTTAGATGTCAGAAGAGGCATACCTGTTGAGTTATATTTTGACAACCCATCTCGATAGTTCCATCAGCAATTTGGTCGGAGGTAGGTTCCTCACCACGTTTTTCCGAAGGCTTCGAAATCTGCCGCTTTCTTCTCTTCCTTGGTTCTGCACCCGCTAGATTTGCATAGTTCCTTTTCTGTGCATTCAGAATCCGATAGGATCCACGCTCTCTGTGTGGTGAAGCCGGAGGCGTTTGTAAAGCCGAGCCGGTAGTTCGTAATGGGGACTCTTCTGTGTTGCCGTCCTGGCTCGCCAGATAAGCCTGAAGGACTAGAATCGCGGTCAACACCCATTCTATTAGGTAAGTCGAGTGTCTAACGTACCGTCATTATCGACTTTAGAAATCAAGGAATCAATATACTCTTCGTTATGATCGATGCCAGAAGACGTGAATGCGTCCCGGATAGCCTGGGCTAGAAAGCCTCGGGCAGTCTCGTCCATGATACTTAGAGAATGCGATGCGTGCGACCGAGGACGTACCCACCTCCTGCATAATAAATACAAGCCTCTTCCTTTGCTCTAGAACTTTCGAGCAGACTGATCGACGAGCCAAGCCCACCTGGGTGGGGCTGTTGACAGGTATAAGCCAATCATGTATCCAGAGTCTCCTTATCCAAGATTTAGCAGCGCTGGGGCGTGACAAGGTGACCACCCAAAATGGAGTCTTGTCCTCACCGAGCTCCAGCGTGTTGCACAAGACCCGGACACGGTCAAGCCACGTCTGCCGTTCAAGCCGACGGTGACCACTGGCTATGCATCCTGGACTCTATCAAGGACGAAATCTTTGAGATAGCACACGGTGAGGGACACCTCGGTTTCCACCGCGCATGGCACAAAATGCGAGGCTTCGTCGTGCACAGGGGAGCGAAGAAGTTTCGCACGTCCATCGACCAGTGCGACGAATGCAGGGAGATCTCCGTGCCAAACCACAAGCACTATGTTAACTTGTCAAAGCTATGAATAATGCATGCGCTAGTATGCGCGTGGCAGAAGAAATGCTAACGGAATTGTGCAAAATATTGATTGAATAATCATAAACGAGCTGAAGAATGGATACAGTAGGGCTTCCCGCATAGTACATAAAAACGAACGACGTTAATATGCGGTTGTTGTACTAACTAGAAAGAACTCACTTTTTCTTGACAGAAGCAAAAGTCACATAACAGAATCCCTCGCATTGAAACGGTGTAACATTATGTCAATCATTCTCAATCATTTTACAACAGATGATATGCACATTTTAAACTAATACCTCATATTTGCTGCCGCAAAAGCTTCATGAGCAGTTCAGGTTCAGGGGCAATGGCCTGGACCTGTGATACCATTGTTATAATTGTCCAGCGTGGTGGCCCAGCCATTCACTTGGCTTTTGACAGCATTGGAGAGGCTGGCCCAGTCAACGCTATTTTTATTGGCGAGGAAATTGTCCGCAGCCTGGATGGTACTTGTCACAGCGGAGCCGTCCGCGCCATTTTTGATGCTGAGCTTCGCTGCGAGCAACTGCGCATAAAGCTTATCGATTCCGTTGCTAGCGGTGGGAATACCCTCGATGGTGACGGCTTGACTTGACGTGGTTACCTTGACGCTCTTCGCCCCGCCTTCTGTGCCGAGCCAGATCGGTAGCAGCGGGGTGACGGCGTCGGGGTGAGTCTTCCAGTAGCCGATCGTCAGCGTGCAACCGCCGGAGGCAGTGCACTTAACCGTCACCGTCGCCGATGCAGACGGCCCGGCCGTGCCGTCGTCGTAGGTGATGGAGGCGGTGTTGGGATTGTCTCCTGCATTACCACAGTCGAATGTATGGGTGTAGGTCACCGTTTGGTCATCAGAGAACTCCCCTAGCGGGCCCCCGAGGGTATCGGAGACCGTTACGGTGTTATGGATAAGCGTCTCGGTCGTCGGAATCGTTGTGGTGGCGGCCGCGTTCGGCCCAAACGGCACTCCTAAGTGCCCCGAGTGATTTATAATCGTCGTATCGGCGTTCACCTTGTAGGTGTTACTGTTTGCTGACGGGATGTCGATGTTATAGGGGTAGCAGTAGCTCTCCCCGGCAGCTAGGACCGGTTTAGCCGTCGTGTCAAGCGGCGTACTCAATATGACCACCTGGGACGGCGGCTGCGTCACCTTAAGGGTCGACATGAGGTTCTCAGTTGGAACACTGCCACCGTTGGTAATACAGACCTCCCCGTCGATCCAGGTGTGGACAGTGCCGTCGTCCTTAGTCAGCGTCACCGTGTAGGTTACAGTGCCGCTGCCGCCCTGGACCAGATCGAGTGTGGTTGGGTTAGCCACCTTGTTGATTGTCCAGGTGAATGTCCGGGTCCGGTGCCCGTTCGCTGTCACTTCCTCGCTCAGCGTTGTGCCCGCCTGGCCTTGCCTCTTGCTGAGCGTTATGCCCGCAGCCGAGGCTGGCGCCGGAAAGGCGGATACCCCCGCGACTACGACGAGTGCCACTACCAACACCCAGCCGAGACGGAGTATCGATGGTGTTTTCATTTTCATATTACCCCTCGAGGTGTATGTAGTATCTCGAATGTTCAAGAACAGTTTGTATATCTTGGGAACGAAGAAATCCTCTTTATGAGTTAGCTTTTAGGGTGGACGCAGAACGATTATTTATAACTTCTGATACCGCTTTCAAACCCAATCTAGAACACCTGTTCCTTCCAAAACACATTGAGCTATCACACCACTCTCGCGCGTGATAGGAGAGTGGCCAGAAGGGCCGATTGCTCATACACTACCAGCATCATGGGCACGATGGTTCGACTTTTCTAAGTGTAACTTTATGATTTGACATCCGATCTATAAGTTTCGGTGGTACACTTTGAGAGACGGCACCGATCCAGAAGGGCCGATTGCTCATACACTACCAGCATCATGGGCACGATGGTTCGACTTTTCTAAGTGTAACTTTATTATTTGACATCCGATCTATAAGTTTCGGTGGTACACTTTGAGAGACGGCACCGATCATGTTGAGGCTGTCTGCTAGCAAAGCCTAGTCTGGCCAATATTTGGTCGTGTCCGTATCTCTTGTCACTCTATGTTCCTCTATATTCTTTAACTGGTTATCTTAAGAGAATAGGCCTAATTGCGAAAGTGTCGCCCCTATGACTTAGACTCATGCTGCTAGTGGGGGACTATAGAACTCGTGGGGCACGACTGCAATACCCAGGCTGCACTAAATATAAGTGCTTGTTAAGCGGGAAATTCTTGGGAGGCCTATTCGTTCACGCTACATAGCAGGAGGTCATCATTCCTTAGCATTAACGGGCGCATCATTACAACTCGCCACATTCGACCGGGCTATAATAACCGCGTGAACCACACGACTATAATCATAGACCCCGCATAAGCCCCCACCTCTAGAAAACTTAAACTTTATACCGAGCTACTCGGAAACCATCGATCGGCCTAGTTCTGTAAATCGAACCGGTATCTCGGGTTCCGGTACTAAGATTACCGTGGTAACGGTGCCTTATTGGATGAATGGGCCGCCAAGAATTTTCCGCTTAACGATGATCATGTTACGTCACACACCTGTCATTAGCACGCGATTTTCTATGCCCCCTAAGTTGATAAGATACATCTTGAACTCAAGTCGCGGGGACGATAGCTAGACATCTAGGCCTATTTTATTAAAATAACCGGTCGAGAGAGATGTAGCGGCTATAGAAGTAGGGACGGCGGGATACGGTCAGATGTGGCTTTTAGATGGCTCCGAGTCTCGACCGAATCAGTACTATACTATCTGCACAGTCGCTGATTAGTCGAACCAAATTATTCTGTAGCTATAGCATAGACGTTTGCAGTTTGCCTCTTTCTGTTTAGGGCGGAAAATACTAAAAATAGCGGTGGTTCATCGGTTCAGGTTGATCCCCAGATTTCAACCTACCTTGGATGATGTCGATGGCTACGACTAGCTCGCCACAAGTATATGAGCAATTGAAATCTGATCTGCCAAGAGAAAATGCAGAAGAAATTGTACGAAAAAGATGGCTTTATATGACTGAAAGTTTAAGCACAGGCCAGAGAGCCTAGATGAGGCCACCTCGGGTCAAATGCCTCCTAGCTATCCTATTTGTACACTCGTTAGCGCAAAGGCTAAGCTGTTGCGTAGCCAAATCAGAAGATCTAAATGACCATCAGCCACAATAGAAATATGTATTAGACGGCGTAAATAACCGGACTTTGGAGCTCTGTAATTGACTCGGCTCTGAGGGCCTTTCAGCTTCTCCGAGGAAGCCTATTACAGGTAGGATGTATCTAGACTGGATAAAAGCGATTTACACTATATGATTAATTGACCTAGGCACTTTCACAGCCGGCAGCTCGCTCTTATCATACCACCTCTTCTAAAAATGCTCTATGTTGAATCCGTTATTTGACCTGGGTCAATCATCCTGTTCTAATTTCGAACTCCTTAAGCGAATACGGTTAGGATTGTAATGGGTTAGACCCGCGTCTCACTATACGGCCTTGCCATATAGCCCGCTCCTGTTCTACCACCGAGGTTGAGACCCTGGAGGTTGGTGCGCTCAAGGCCCATGCCATGGCCCCTAAACCGAGCGCTCCGGGGTTGAGTGCCCCATGGATTTGGGACTTCTTCTAGGTTGGAGGCCGCCCCCGCTTTAGGTGGTACTCCCGGGGTTACAACTTTAGAGTCTGGTAGTGGGCCCAGTTTTGCTGAGCCGGTTTATGGTGCATCTGACTCTGAACCTAGATATAGACCTGGCTATTCAGCGCCTGCATATGATGCCCCGGCATATACGATACCTTATACTCGATATGCCGGAAGCTAGTACCCCAGAGCTTCATGAACTGGCTAACACCAGTTCAGCTACTCCTGAAGTAGCTACGTCCGAATTCCCTGGGCCCGAATTCCGTACGCCAGAACCTGCGCCAGAATCTCCTGCACCCGAGATGATGTTTATGAAGGCTACTCGCACCTCAATTTGCGCGTCCGCACAACAGACTATACCAATTTCAGATATGGTGGATAATAGGTACATCGAGCACCTTGATATCTTCGTAATAATACATACGGTAGGATTTTAAGAGTGAGAATCTTAATATGTTTTCGAAAACCTCTTATCAGTCGCGACTTTAAACGATAGACTATAAAGAAGCATTATCATTTGTTATAATAGCCCTATATAATAGATATCTTGTCGGACCGAGTTATCCAAGTTCAATTTTTGTCACTCTTCAAATAAGACATACTAAATCTAGCCCTTTCATCTGTCTCACTGGTCACGAAAATATTCCCTATATTCCACTCTCAACTATTCTGATCTTTCCTAGGCCTCTTATACATCATGAAGGTTCGCTACCTATTCGGAATGGAATCTCCGCACACAGCGTAACCCACCCGCTAAGGCAAGAAAAGCCTATGACCGAGCCGACTGGGGAAAAATTGGATGGGAGGTGTGGAGACTCATGAGACCCTGGGAGACCCCGAACACGATCGAGGCACTAGATGCCACGGTGGACAAGCTAATAGAGGAAACCGCGAAAGCGGTTGACTGCCACACTCCGAACCTACGACCGTCTCCGTATGCTAAGCGGTGGTTCACCCCCGATCTAAAATCTCAACAAAAAGAAGTAAACCGTGCACGACGCAAATGGCAAGAGAGCTGTGCTGAGGCGGGACGAGATGATCCTTACACCATATCGCTCTTCGAAGACATGCGCCAGAAGCGGCGAGCGTGGACGCAGACAATCGAGAAAGCCAAGACATCGCATTGGAGACAATTTCTCGACGAGGCAGGTGAAGGAAAGCTGTGGAAAGCGGCAACTTACATGAAACCGCGAGACTCCTGGGGCTGCATACCCACCCTCAAAATCGGTGACCGAGAGGTGACTGACAACCAGGAAAAGGCTAAGGCCTTCATGGACTCGTTCTTCCCTACTATGGCGCCTGCCCAAGGGGAACCTCTTGCGCAACCCCCAGTTGAACTGGCATGGCAGCCGATCTCAGAGGCCGAAGTCTATCGAGCTCTGAAAACGGCAAAAGGCTCGACAGCACCTGGCGAAGATGGTCTTCCGATGCTTGTCTGGAAACGTCTGTGGAGACACCTTGGAAACCTCATCACTCGGATCTTCGCGGCATCAATCGACCTAGGATACCACCCCCAGAGGTGGAGGAACGCCCGGATCGTAAACCGGGGAAGCCGGATTACTCCCTCCCAGGAGCCTACCGTCCGATCTCATTACTCAACACGCTCGGCAAACTACTAGAGGCAGTGATGGCCCGGCGGCTATCCTACTTCGCGGAACATTACAGACTTCTTCCGGACACTCAGTTCGGGGGACGTCCGGGACGCACAACCGAGCAGGCCCTGTTAGTGCTAGCCAACGCAATCGACCGAGCGTGGTGCAAACAAAGAGTGGTCACCTTGGTAGCCTTCGACCTAAAGGGCGCCTTCAATGGGGTAAACCAGATAAGCCTAGACGTTCGTCTCCAATCTAAAGGCATCCCTGCGCTTGCCCGGAGATGGATTGCAAGCTTCATTCAATGTGAAGTTCCATTATCAGCGAGCAGTTCTGAACACAGGAAAAATTAGTCTCGAATACGTTCCTACCGCGGAACAGGCCGCTGATGGACTCACCAAACCTCTGGGACCCTCTCCATTCACCAAGTTCTGCAACCTCTTAGGTATCGACACGGAAGAACTCATAAAGGAAAATGTGTAACCGCGATGGCGCTCTTTCCACTATTTCTCCTCTTTGAGGTTTTGAGTGGTTTTACCGAGGCCTGACCGATGTGCATGTATTCAGTACCGCCTCGCCAGCAAGGCGATCCTGAGGGGGAATGTTGTGATATGAGGCAGTTGCTGCTCAGGAACGAAGCCGCAACATCGGAAATAATTCCTGTCCATCTATACGAAGACCAAGTTGATTGGAAATCAACTTGGACTTCATGTTTTATATATAGCCTCTTGTATCCCCTCAGAAATAAGAAGTAAGCTTCCTTCAGAAATACAACACAACCCATCCGGCCACGGCTGCTTACAGTATTCCGACAAAATGTAGTCGCACAAGGACACATACCGATAAAGATATTTGGGCTATGGGTACGATTTGCGAGATACCTTGATGACTGCGTTTGGCTAACATTTTCCTCTGCACGGTGAGATGGTAGGGCGTCGAGTCGTCAATTGGCACCGGTCTCCTTTCATCTCGCCCCCGCCTACGGAGGTTAATAGCCATCACGAGTGCAAAAATGACCAATGGTGGTTTTTGTCCGGCAGAATTCCCGTTTTGCCCACTTAGCTGTGGTGTGGATAGTTATGCTGGTACCAGTCTAGCCTTATTACAACTAGCGTAATACCAGGGAGCGTCAATTATGCCTAATTAGGCTTTAGTTTATCCAGCACCTACAAACAGACTTAACGTCCTGTTGATCTGCCAACTCGTCTTCCTGCCCTTCTCTACCCAAGAAGCACTAAAACAAGCTGAGTTCTTCCAAATAACGTGTTTTCGCTAAAAAGCAACTCTCTTCTCTTCCTGACTAGTCAAGACATGCAAATTGAAGTTGATTGAGTCTCAAAATCGAAAAAAATAACATGAAATGACACATCCTCTCCAGTCCTTCCACTCCCTCATCTATGTCATATGCTAATTACCCGCTGTTTGCCCTCCAGGTCTCCGAAACAGGTCCTGACGCAGTCATTCTCTCCATATCCGACTCTCGCAGCTGGTATCTCCGCCGGGTACGTGGTGGAGAGATCCCTGGCGGCACACGAGCTCGCTTTCGCCGCTACGGCAGCGCCGCTGGCTGCGCCGGCGGCGGAGTAAACTCCACAGCTCTCCGCGGTGATAATGACCTGATAATTGCTCCTAGCGATAGGAGAGATAATGAGATAGATACCTCTGAGGGCGGAGGAGATGGCGCTAGAGCTCCTGCTGCCACAGGAGCTTCAGCTTCAAGCTTTATCGTCACTGGTTCAAGTCTTTTTCTCTTGATAATCAGGAAGACCTCATAACTATCCTTGATTTTGGTAAATTTCGTACAGAAGTCTGTGAGGAGCTGTTCATGATCTTCCCGCATGCCTAGGAACCATAGCTCCTTTTTATTCTTAACTGCAGTTGCAAATCGAAATGTATCTCCTTGCTCACGCATGTAATCCTCAGGATCGAGCTCCACTAGGAGCTCATTTTCGATGAAGTCGACGAAGCTATTAATAGTACCCGGTGTAAGGATTGGGGTAACTGTAGCTACTCATAACGAGGAAAATTAGTATATCTCTCTCTTGGCCGCGGGATCTCTCCATACTTAGCTTTTCAAGCCTATCTGGCTTTCCCGACCCCAAGTACCAATATAGATAGCAGTGGACGATTAATGAGACCGTTGCTGGTGCTGTAGGAACTTGAGGCCGCCCTCGACTGAGGCGGCTACCTCCAGAGCTTCTCCCACCAATAAATTAGCGCTGAATCGACTGCTGCTGGATCTGGCGCTGCCGTATCTCATTTGTCGTCCCTGATAAGGCCTGGAAGCGTGGTTCTGGGGTAATAAGGCTTCTCTGGTATAGCGTCGCCCTGGCCGAAGAGGATAAATTCTGTATAGAAGAGCTCGTACTATACGTAGGGGAGGTGATCTGGGCAGTAGAGCTAGGACCATAAGCAAAAACATCTTCCCCGGTACGATGGGCCAGGGTATTCCGGTAGTTAGCCATAGAAACACAAGTGGGAGGGTTTCTGAGGAAGAATATCAGGTACAAAAATAATTTAAATATAAGAAGGAGCCGAGTTATCTTGAAACTGAATGAATTTCCTCTTGTAAAATTAGTACTTAGCGAAGATTTTATGACGAACTAAGGCGCAGATATCTTACCACAAGGGATCCAAACACAGGCTTACTCAGCTTCCACGCCTTCATTAGATTTTAATGGCAATCCGGATAGCTCCGGAAGTATAGCATGTAACACGCTATGGCAGACCCCGGAGGATCATCCAACGGACCTCACAATCTTCAATTCACCCACATTCAAATAGGCATGTTTAATACTACTCACTTTAGTACTAGTCAGGACGGAAGTTCCCCTGTTTAACACTTTATGTGGCACTATGATAACCTGGTCTTTTGGCGTTGAGACATGTATACATAAGAAAGTTTATATACCGAACTACCTCCGTCGATCCCCTACCTCGTGGATACTAATTGGCTATCGTAAAATCCCAAGAGCGCGGTAGCACACGCTGATCAGCCTGAATTTAGATCTTGGGCCGAGATCCTACAGAGAGGTGCTGAAAACTAGCCTTCCTGTGCCTCTCCAGGCTCCCAATCCCATGCACCGAGGGGTTTCGTAGTAAGACAGAGCACTGGATGTTCATCTAATTGGTCATGAAGAAGAGCACGGCGGCGGAGTTCGAGATATTCGACCCGGTAAGGTTGGCTAACTTCCTCTGGAACACGAGACGGAGAATTATCAGGATTGAAGCCATTTCCAGGCCCATAAAGCTCGGCTCCAATCTCCTGAAGCTGCTGGTGGCACCAAGCAAGGACATCAGGGGGTAAATATTCATCTTTATCCCAGTCCCGGACGTCCTCCTGGAGCTCGCGAAGCAGCATCTGATTAACTGCGCGCTGGTAATCCGGCTTAGACGCATTAAAATAATTCATAAAAGGCTTCCCAGTAACGGCGTTCGGCCGTGACTTTTGCTTGCGGATATTATGAATATTCCAGGTCTTAGCGTACTCACCAATAACCCGGCGGAGCGTAGGCATATAAACCGCAAGAAGGGCGACCTGCTCAGGGATAGAGCCGGAGAAGAGACCTATAGAGGATTAGTACCAGCAGCGGATAGTGGGCAGGATGACTTACCTTGTTCCCGGAGCTCCCGGAAATATTGGTAATAGAGAAAAGTACACGACTTAGATAACTGCGCCCACCAAGCCTCTATTCTCTGGTTATCTGTGCTTCGCCCTAGCCAGAAACAGTCTCCATGGGCAGCCTCTGGATCGAACACCTGCCGCAGCGCCCATTGTGCATCCCCAATAAGGGAGGTCTCCGAGCCGAGGTCAGACCGAATAATCTCCGGTTAGTAGGAGAGCTCGGCGAGGGTGTCAAGAAACTGAGAGAGAACGCTCACTGCGGTACGAGTACTAATTCCCACGTATATCCAGAGAATATACCGAGAGTACCCATCAATGGCAGCATAAACCTCAACCCCGAACTGCGCTAGCTTCATATAACCATCCACATGCCACACGAAATTCGGCCCAGGGCACCAATACTCGCCGCGGGAGCGCTAGAGATCGTATGATCGGCGGAGGAGTGAGTCAGGGCGAAGAGAGCGGTAGACTTCGAATACTCGGTGCTGTGGGAAAAGAAAACCATGCCGGCGAAGGTGGTGATAGAGAATCCGACGCCCATAGCCTTCGACATCGCCAATTCCAAGCTCCTCAGTCAAGAGAACCTCGATTTCGAGCCGTTGCTGCTGCCGCTGAAGCGGGCAGTTTGTACGAAGCTGAATTCCAAGCCGTTTTCGTAACCTTTCAAGCGTAGGTTCAGAGACCCGGAATCCCTCTTTCTGTAGCACTTCGAGTGTTTCTTTAGCCGATAAACCTGCCTCGGTAATTAGTGTGAGAAGGCGAGCGTGCAAAGCTTCATTTTGGCTAGGTAGCTGGCGCCGTAGGCCCCAGGAAGAAAGGCGAGTTTTGAGCGTGCGGAGTGAGATATTGACGCCGTGGCTTTGTATGATGGTCTGGATATTAGCAATACGTGCATTCTGAGAATATAAGAGAGTAATCTCCTCCCTGTAAGGCTCCAGGTCAATTTGAGGGCGTGGCATGGGAAAATAGAAGTTATTCATGTGAGCACAGAACAGTAGGAATTGCACTATGTTAAAATCAAAAGAAAGGATTGTCTGCTTCTGAAAAATACATAGTCATACGGTCTTGTATACTGTACACTACACTACAGTAGCGTACTGAATCGGAGATTCAGTAATGTAATTTATAGGCAAGTGAAACTATAAAATACCATATCCAATGCTACATCTTTATTCCTCTATATCTCAACCACCAGCGCTTTATTTTTGTTAAATTTTGAATTAACACTTTTCTAAGCAAAAAGAATAATATGCCTAGATTTTGAGCTAGTGAGAGCATTATTTCGACGCGTTACCATAAAATACCGTATCATTTTGACCTTGAGACACGGATATATATATCGCCATGAGTTTTCTAAAAGTAAACTCTCAATGCACCAGTAGGTCAGAAACGCTATCGAGGTTATACAAGCCTCATATTTTATCCGAAAGACCCACGGCTTTTGAGATATGAAGTTGTTATTTATCGCATTTAGTATGGAGTTTTGGGGTGTTTTATTCGCCTGTGGATTATGTCACAGTATTCCGACCTGGAACGGTAAGCCTGTTCCACTCCATGCTGGCTAACCTAATTAGGGTAAGGCGAACAGGATAAACACTGCGGGCGGAAAAGGAGGCGGTATACAGATTGCCCAATCATATTGGATTCTGGGGTTTTTGCACTCGTGATGGTTATTAACCTCCGTACCTGGGGGTCACGTGGGATTTCGCGAAATTTCGTGGCCGTCGATACATTTGGTCTAACACATCCTCACTTAGACCCTCCAGCCAATCTGGAAGGCTGGAAACATGGAATGCTTTCCGCCCGAGAAAGCCCCACACGAAATCCACCACTTCGATAATGTCAATTTTATCTGATGCGGGTCTGGTCGGATTGTGAGCCCACATTCCCCAGGTGCGCTCGAATGCTCTATCGAATCCCTCAGCGTTCGTAAAGCCTTGTGTTCGGACGAGCCAGAGCATTTCCACAGAAATCCAATGTCTTTTCACGGCCTTGTAGAATCTTTGGTAGGACTTCTGCCTCTCCATTTTACTCGTTTCCTTGAAACTGGCGCAAACGGAGCCAGATGGGATCGGAAGGGCGGATTCGCTAGCCATTGCTTCAGTAGTATCTGGCATACGCAACCCTGTGACATATGGAAATGTGGAAGCGAGATAGCCTTCGTTTACAGCGGAGTCGCAATAAAGGTCGTATAGAACACGCATCCCTTGCCACCTGCAGACTATATCCCTGACAACCTCAGCGGGGACGTCATTGCTGCTGTCAAAAGGGCCCAGGAATCTAGAGACTAGCGACTTCCGATATGTGGGAGTTTGTGGAATAGGCAGCGAATCGTAAAAATCGCGGGAAAAGCGCCAATACAAATTTACGCGTTGACTAAGCTCAACGTCATGCTCGTGATGGGAAGCTCGTACCTGTCGTCTTGTCAATTCAGCATTCGAACAAATTAGATCAGCGCAGATGTACAATGATATATCTGAATAGCTTTAATCGGACGCTCATTGGGTCGAAAACGCAGTGAAGATACTTGCAACATCTTGCAAAACGCAAGACATCGTCAATATCATCAAGTGATTCGAATACCCAGATGACAATTTCAGTTGGGAGATTCAGGACATAGCTCATATTGCCAGCTTGAAGGACGACTGCAGCGAGAACTGCGGAGGATAAGAGTAGGAGTTCGGCAATGCTGGTCGACACCCTGAGAAACTCATCAACCAATGGCTGGCCGAATGCGCACAACTACCTGTGAGCAAGCAAAATCGTGCCTGGGAGCTTCACTCTAGGCCCGAGGATCCAGCCAGGCCAGTGGGGTGGAGGTGACACTACTCTTACAGCGGGGAGCCCGAACCTATCATTTTCGGAAAAATATCTAAAATAATATTTCCCCGTAGCTAGCTAGCCACTATTCAGGACCGTTAGATACAGATATGCTGCGATCTGACATATATCGTACCTAGGGTGGGTAGGTAGGTTCGAAGATAATAGTTAAATGAAAGCTACTGAAAAGTATTTTTGGGTACGAGGTCATCCTGCTCCCACCAGTTTGATATTCCGTCCTTTCATTCTGACTACACTTACTGACCCAAAATCACGCTAACATAAAAAGTGAGAGTTAAAATCAAACGTCCATCATTCCCCGTACAAGTCAGCAAAGAGTGAATACATCACGACACTTTTTCTCATACTACCATATGAAAGACCTCCAAAAGCGCATTCTTGCTTATTTTCGGGGGCTCCTTGGGCCGGCCCATTAATTGGGACACCGCCGTCTGCGCTCCTCGGACGCTGTACTCCACGCTGAAGGTGGTGTCATCGGGAATTTCAACATACTGCCCGATGAAGGCGACATTCGTTGTGTCATGCGGGATCACACTTGGACGATCGTGAAGAACCCGTGTCAATAGCATTGACGTTCCCAGGGGAACGAAACAGGGAATTGTCGTGGCCAATGCGAGAAGTGGTTCAACGGGGAACTTCATATGAGAAAGTAGCTCAACGAGGATCTCTGCGCCGGAGCATTGTTCCATGGGCTTTTTCACATATGTCCCGATTTTTTCTGGACGTAGTCCGTATCCCCAAATCACGTCAACAATGTCTGGTTGCGTCGCGAAAACAGGCTGGTGAGGAATGCTAATATTCAAACACCAGGGGCTTCCTACAATGGTGAGTAGGGAACCCGTACCCGGTTTGCCCTTAGTGAGCCGCGAGTAATACTTCATGAAGTCCGATTCCCGAAAAGTGACGGTGAAGGTCTCGATTTTCGTCTCATCCGTCCGCGTGATGAAATTAGAAGGATTGCCAAATTTGGTCGACTGCTCGGCGAGTTTATTCCAAAGAGACCACTCCCCATCATATACACCACTCTCCGCTGACACCTCCGGAGGAGGCTCTTCGTTAGACCCTATCTGCATCCCGGTAGAGATCGACCCTAACGTCACGATAACAATGTCAGAGGGATCTACCGTGATAAGTTCCTCTCTTCCGTTCTCAACCAACGTAATCTCCGAGATAGTTGTTGGGTCGCTAGACGGATACGACTTGAGATCGGTGACCATCGCATGGAACCGGAAGTCAACTCCTTGATCCTTTAAGAATTTAGTGATGGGGATTATCAAAGTCTCATAAAGGCTGAATCTCGTTCTCTCCAGCTCAGGAACATCACTGCGAGTCTGCATCTTGGGCAAGTATTTGGCTAGAAGTCTGCGAAACTCGGTCGCACTATGCCATGGCTGGAGGAAAAAACTAAAGGCGAGTCAGTACCAAGGGAAACAAATTGGGAAGAAGACGTAAGGTGCTCACGTAGTCGACCATAGTGCCCAGAATTCCGTCCTGAAGAACGATTCGTCAAACACCTCATTGATCTTCTTAGAGTCGGACGCCCTTTCACGGTCCAGGAGAAATGCGATGAGCTCCATCCGACTCTTCGCCCCAATCTGCATCCGATGCACGTCCACTTCGGCCGACTGTTCTCCCTCGCCTGGCCTAAGTGCGCGAATTTTGTCTTTGTTGTTTGGTCTCCCGGATAACTCATAATCTTTGATGATATCCAGGACAGACTTTTCTGGATTATCTGGACTAGGAACCATCGCGAGGAGCTCTTCGACACAATCTTCGTGGAAGTACGGCTGTGCGCCCGTGTGAAGAACATAGCCATCGCTTGGGTTACCAGAGACCTCCTCCATCGCTCCCCCACAGCCCTTATGGATGTCGAGGATATGAACTTGGAGTGCCGGGACTTTGGCCTGCTTGATCAGATGTACCGCGGCTGCCATGGAAGCGATCCCGCTTCCAATAAGCCAAGCCTGTACATCTTTAGGATCTCGGCTACGCGCCATTGATTGGCTGTGGATGTTATCGCGGATTTGCCACTTTGAGTTTCGTCGTTAGACACTTTTTTGTTTCCCCTAAGGCGTGGGCGAGTGTCCAAAAGGCTATTATATAGGTAAGAAAACCAAGCGAGCGTCGGCAATCGACGGCCTGTCTAGTCGTATTAGATTTCACATGACAGCAGCCGAACCGAATCGTTTAGAGGACTACCAAGTTTTACTGCTCTGGTTTCAAGGCGAATGATGTAAGTGCACGTCTCTAGAAATCCGTTGAATCCTCGGGTACCAATGTCGCGAACCAAACATCTTAATCGTCGTCTCAGATGACCTGGCTCTGAAAGTATGCGAACATCACATGCACCATCCGCCGCTTCATCACTCTTATATCACTAATAGTAAATCCGGTATGAGATCAGTCTGATGTCAACTGGAATTATAATGCAAGGATTGAGACAAGGTGAACCACCTACTGTGGATGACCTAGAACCATAAGGACTTCCCTCGATTTTTTACAGTGTGGCATAGCCCCTAGTGAGATCGCATTGGGCGGAAGCCCTAGCCAGGCTGTTGGGACAATGGATTCATAACTTCTCGTGATGTCCCGGTGTTAATCCCTCGCTGGGAGGCCAAAGGAATCCATGTTGGTTATGCCAGTGGAGCCAACTCCGGGGATCGCGACCGCACAACCACGCCAAAATCAGAGGGCATCAAATACCAAATCCATCTAACTTTGTTTACTCGTCTCACACTCGAGCCCAGAATGCATCACCGTAAAAGTGGTCTCGCCCTATGAAGAAGACAGGACACCTCTGAGCTTGCATACAATCTGTGATCGCTTCGTACGAGATGCGTTGACTCGAACTTCGTTATTCTGGAAGATGCAGTTCATGGAAGACCTCATCAAGGTTCACTGACTCGCATGAAACTGGGAACCAAGCTCACCAGAAAGCCATGGAAACGGGCTTTCTCGCATTCAGAGAAACCTATATACGCCATGTGCGCTAAGCTGCGAAACTCTAACACACAAAAGGGCAGAGATGGGAGGTGATATAACACCTGGAGAGAGACCGCACACATAACACAATCCCGAAGACCGATCGCAATGAGTCACCTCTACTGGATGAGGCAGGCTATCTCTCTACTGGATGAGG